GATCAGTCTGATGTACTGCCGGTAGACAACTGCAGGATTTTTCGAAATGCTCTGGGCTATTATACCCACGTTTTATTTCATTCTGTTGCAGGTAGCTTCGATTTTATGTCAACGCCACTTAGCGGATTCTACTGAACTAACGTGAAAAACTGGGGTATTTTTTCAAAACATTAAGCTTATTTATTGCTATTGTTATTATTTTTTTCAAAATAAAAACTATTCTCTAACCATCTAGGAAAAGTCAAAAATCTGTATGAGAAATTTTAGCTAGATCGGTTGATTAGTTTTCGTGGTTAGCGATTACAATGATTTTAGCGACTTTGCTTGACATATTAGTAAGATAAGATATGTGGTGGGCGAAATATTACTCTAACAAAAAATTTACCAATAACACGCCCACTTACATTACACACATTCTGCAAAATTTTTTAAGTAATACCGTTAATTTATATATATCATTATCTCAGACTGGCCTCGTATCCATGTCGCTCCAAAAAAAAAAAATGAAAAGTTGTAAATACTTTTACCCACCTAGAGATTTGAACAGTATGAAATATTTATTTATAGAATGAGTATGCAATAAAATGTTACCGAGATACATTCAGTTAGTTGGAAGAAACCGTTTTTCAGAATTTTAAATACAGATTCAGAAATGATTGGTAGAATACCATAATTCAGAAATTAAAACAGTTGTTGTTAATCTTATCATCTCATAAAATAACTAGTAGCCCCCCGTCTTGGCTTCGCTTGAGACTTACTAAATAAAACACCGTAGTGTGTTGACATGTAATGTGAAACATTTTCAGTTAGAAATTTTACACATATTCCTGATACATCTCAGAACAAAAATCTTCTTATTAAAAACATATTTTTTCGGAATCCATATAGTTTATTTGGTTAAATAATGAGGTGTAAAAATTCAAAAAAGTTATTATGCTGAAAAGTACCGTGCGTTCTTTATGCCATAAAATAATCGGTGGCCATAAGAAGCCGTTGATTTACAGTTTCTCCCGTGTAATTCACGGAAACGGCTATTTTTTAAAGCTGTTAAGATTTTAAACCCCCAAAAAATTTATAGTGAAAAAAAAATTTTTTCTTATATCTCACAACTTTTTTACCAGAACAACAAAGTCCTGGACATTAAATCCTACATTTTTATTGCCACAAAAACACAAATACATTTTTTACTCATTAAAAAATCTAAAGTAGGATATTTAAAGATTTCAGAGATTGCTGTGAGGGTACAATGAAAAGCGGATCTCTCACGTAATGGACTCTTTAGTTGTCGATTTTGACGCTGCTGTTTCAATCTCGATAAATTTTCTGCGTCAGTTTCTTGACGCCTAAAATTGTATTCATTAAATGCATTTAAGGTTTTTCTTCCGATTCACCCTCTTGCGACTTTTGGCATGCTTAAAATTTGTGTGACCCCTAAAGTGTATTTTCTGTCATCTTTGTTAAGTTCTAATATATTTTTTGGCAAGGTAGTTCGACGTCCGATGGCCCGGAAAAAGACCGGTGAGCTTTTTAAGTTGAATCTTTTTTGACTGCAGTTAACAGCAATTGTGACTGCCTGGATACCTCAGGGTGATCTTCTCTGGCTTGCTGTTGAAGACCCAGACTGATTGGGAGAAAAATTACAAAGTCCGAAGCTTTGGGGCTAGTTGTAGTGCTCTTTCCCAACGTCTCCCGGTATAACGTCGAAGACGTTGGTGTCTAAAGCACCTTTTTTAGTTGCAGATTCAGTTGTTTTGGTGATCTTAGATGGGGAGATTGGTTAGTGATACTTGTCCAGTGGAGGCTGTCCCGTTGGCTCAAGTTTTTTTTCCTTCATAGCTGTTATAGGTTTGCCCAACGCAGACCTTGGAGAGGATCAGTGATTCCTGGTTGAATGCTTAGAGTCGAGAGGGTAGTATAGGGTCGTCGGTCACCGGGTTTTCCAGCCTTGCGAAGAACAACTCCGCAGGTGACGTCTGCTAGTGAATGGCTGACTTGGTTTAATAGTGCCCGTCTTTAGTTAATATAGTCTTTTAGTCGACGAATCGCTTCCGGAAATGGTAATAAAAATGTATTTGTTGGCAAGATAGTTTACTCTTAGGTGGATCCTAAAAAGAACCGATGAAATTGATGGTTAATTAGGGAACGTAAATACTTATAATGGCGCTAAAAAGCGCCAGTGGTGAAACTTCCAGGCTATTCTTTATTATTATTTCTAATGATGAAGAGCTGGCTACGGGTTGCTTGATTCTTACCCTGGGAGTCTCGATGTACGGAGACTGTGATGAAGGAAGATACGCTACTGACCAAAGAATATCTCGTCTCGGGTCGTTCCCCGGATAACCAACCGCTCATCGTTAGACGGGAACATGTGGGTAAGCGCATTGGGGACGCAACGACCAAGAAGGTAGCCGTTGTGGCTGCCCATGCCCCTTAGAGCTCAGAGCTGTTTTCCCTTGCTTGCATTTGTAGCCTTAAATTTTCTAACTGCACCAGGTGGGATGGTGGAACTCCCTCACAACTCTGATGAGTTGAACCAGATTGTGCTCTGGCTGCATATGTCTCCTGGTATTGTGGCAGAGAGTTCGGTTGGATTTAATTTTTTTTTTTTTTGATCGCACTCGTCGAGTTTCAGGGTAAATGGACACCTAGGTCCCTTCCCCCTTAGAGAAGAGTGTCGCCCGTAACCGGGATACCCAGCTGCAAGATTATCATCAGCATTCTCTATGCAGCTCGTTCAGTTGCCGAAATTCGACTACAACACTATGGAGACGCTCCAGCCTATTATTACCACACTTATTTAATTAAGTTGCAGGTAGCTTCGATTTTATCTCGACGCCACCTAGCGGATTTTACTGAACTAAAGAGAAAAGCTGGCATATTTTTGCAAAACTTTGAGCTCATTTATTGCTGTTGTTATTAAATTTTTTAAGATAAAAACTATGCTAAGACCATCTAGGAAGTATCATGAATTAGTGTGCAAAATTTCAACAAAATCGGTTCAGTAGTTTTCGCGGTTAGCGATTACAACGGTTTTAGCGCTTCTGCTTTATATATTACTAAGATAAGACAGGATTTTTTTACTGATTAGTTTTTTTATAACATATGCATTTTACAAACATGAACGACTTAACTTTTTTGTTCCTGATGATCTAAATAACTAACAATACATTTTGGCTGTAAAATTAAAAATAATTTTAATTTATTACTGGCAGGAACTTAACGATTGAAGGAGGTTAAATTACATAAAATGTGTTTGAAAGAGGCTGTGAAAATTACTAGTTCTTAAAGTATTTCAAGAAGAAGCAATTAAAAATTAATTTTGAAAAGAAAAAGTACCTATACGCTTAGGCTGCGTATACATGGAGTCTTGAACTTTCAGGACCAGCCCATATGCCCGTATAAGTGCGAGAAAGAGAGTAATAAGTATGTTCTTGCCTCTCACTCGCACTCACACGGGCTTATAGCTGGTCCTGGAAGTTCAAGACTCCATGTATACGCAGCCTTACTCAAGCTCAAGATCAACAGCGAAGAATCGTGGATGATTGTCAGAAAGAATCAGGGATGGGGTACATTTTTTCCCGTTAGAGTACGTAAAATTGACAAGTTGAAGCGAAGAGCAATTCTAACTTCCAACAGTTTTGAAAAATTATAACTAAATGGTATTTAGTTAACTTTATGTTCTAAAAGGCTAACATGACCCTGCTACAGAAGAGTTTTCACGAGACTAAGATAATGATAAAAAATAATAAAAAATAATTAAAAATGTTCATAAGACAAGTATTTTCATAATTACTACTAGAGTCATTTACAATTAGGTTTGAAATTTATGACTTCTGAAAATTAGACGTGACCTTACGGACGGCCTACATATCTTACCAATACTATGATTTGTTATCGAAAAATTATCGAAATTCATTGTGATAAAATTCACTCTATAATTTTTCTAAAAACCCTTTTACTTAAAAGTATTCGGTTAAAAATGATGTGTAAAACAGTACAAAATATATAAATATTGATAGAATTAGCACAATTCAAACCTTTATTGTAAATCATCTGACTGAAGACGCACTAAGGAAATCATTTCACAAGTGACTTCAGCAATTTAAATATATATANGGATATACAAAATTCGAAAAAGTTAAAAGTAAAGAAAAAACCCTTAAAGCAGAAATATGATAATTTTTTAAATGTTTATACGAATAGTGAAATAGTAAAATTTATGTACAACAAAATAAGTTCATTATAAGTTCTTCCATTACGTTAAAAATTTCAAATTATTGATTTAATTATTTGTAACATTTTTTCATTATTCATTTAAAATTAACTGATTCTTATAAATACACATGTAAAATACTTTTCCCCATTTTTCGACATAAAAAACCGATTAAATTATTTTTTGGGTCATATATCAAATTATTGAATTATCAAGGCAGGCTTATTGTGAGTAAAAAAAAAATATTTAAATAACAAACAATAAGAATTATGATCTTGGTAGCTTCGTATTGTTTCACACCTCATTAGTTTTGACTGAATACATTGGAATACATTTTTGTTTTTTTATTTGTTGATGTATTTGGCCTTGAGAGTCATCAAAACTTTATCCAAACTCGGGTTAAATATTTCTAAATTAAGAACTTAATGGTGGGATTTTCTAACTGCCCATGATTGGCTAAAATTTGACCAAACATGAACTTTCACTAAAGTTTAGCAAAACTTGGATATTTTTTTTTAGGGTTGCGTATGAAATGATATATTTATCAGTTTCAAAAAGTTTCGCTAAGCTTACTGCTATATACATTGTCCATGTGTATGCGTAATTTTGGCTTTCGCATAAATAAAAGTGGTTAATGGAGTCTTAATCAACCCCGTTAATTGTTATAACAAGTCAACGAGAAAAATAATATTGGTAATGGCCAAATAGAAAGGTGGGAAAAACTAGAGAACAAGTGGGGGTTGTTGAAGTAAGGAAAAATCTATACATAAAGCGTATAAATCCATACCTCGGTACCATCTTCACCCTCGTCCTCGTAAACTGGCCCGTTGGGGTCGTTGCTGTTATTGATCTTTTTATTGGGCTTCGGTGGTGGCCTTGGCGGTACTTTTCTCATAAGTATACCACTCTGGCTGGGCGTCTGCTGCTTTTCTGTTACATCTTTTTCTTCATCCTGTGCTTGTTCTTGTTGCTTCGGGGTTTTGTCGGCTACCTTGAGAAGCCATTCCGGAATGCCCTCTGGCACCAAGAGATTGACCAGTTGCTGCTTATGCGAAGCTGGAGGCGCTCGGGGCAGAGTAAGTTTAACTCTTGCCCCAGATGGTGAAGAGATACTGGACGACGAGCTGTCCGGGGTGGCAGGCAGCGGCCGGTTACGCATCGACAGCCTGGGCTCTGGCGTCGTCCGTAGGTTTAACGAGGCAACTGAGCAGCCGTTGGCAGTTTTCCGCTCCCCGAGATTGTCGTACACTGGTTCGGCCAAGTCTGCATAAGTGGATGCACCAGAGTCAAAAAAATTTGTATCTGTTACTAATTATTTTTATTAGCAATCCTACTCGCATAAATGTCGTACTATAATGTATTAATAGGTTCGAAGAAGAAGTTTTTTGGGGTATTCAAGTCGATGAGTAACTTTATTTAAATAATTGTCTAATTAAAATGTTATTTCATATGAAAATGATAAATACAAACAATGTCGTTGTTAAAAGATTACGAAAACATTGGCAATATTGTATAGTTTGAGCGAAAAAAATTAGTTACGACTTGATCACCAAAACGAAAAACTCCATGGGTACATTACTTAGTCAAGCTTCTTTAATAAAGTATACAAAGTGACAAGTCACTTTGTAGAGTATCTCAAGTATAAGCTATCAAATACTAGCAACAAAATAGTCACATTTAATAAAGTTGGTGGGTGATTCAATACTAAGGAGGTTGACTACCTTAAGCAGTAACAGTTACTTTTTAACTAAAATCTGTGGAGAGCTTCAAAAATGAATAAAAAAATATGCAAAGTTTCAACAACTCTGGGTGCTTATAAAATGAGAAATTAATGAAACAAATTTTATGAACTGTATATACATTCTTATGGGAGATAGTCAAAAGGTGCATGTAAAAAAAGTTATTTATGAATAATCTGAAGGGTAAATACAACTCAATATTAAATATTAAAGTATGGGATATGCGCACTTATTTCTAATCTAAAAAGGTACAATGTCAGACCTCCTTCTCGTACCCCCAAAGGTAGTCAACCACCTTAAAGCTAGTAAAGTGATAATCTACTGTTTTTATAATAAGATTGTTTGGCCTTAAGCTCTGCCGCCTGTAGCACTGCTTCAGAAGAGACATCATGGTGTCTAAAAAATATATATATAGGCATAGTGTGGACCGACTGTAGACTTAATAATGACTGTCATATCATTTTTAACATGTGCATAAGTCGAGGCTGATCAGCATTCAGTCATAAGGTATATGACTGGATCTGTTCACATATATTTTCAATACAAGAATGGTAGATATGTATTTGTATATGTATATATGCATTTCAGACGCAGTGGTGGCTCTTCAGCAGCAGAGCTGTAGGTGGCAGAGTTTGGGGCCAAACATTCCCATACATGCACCATCAACTATGTTTTTAGAGAATGGGTGGAGCCAGTTGGCATGCTCAGTTCCGATGCACTAAAGAGCCTCTGGTTTGCAATAAAAAGTAGATCTGTATAATAAATGTTTTTCAAGCATGGCGCTATTAGCACTGCATGTACAGATATACTTTATTTTCTGAAATACTCTAGGGCCATTGGCTAGAAGCTCTTCTATTTAGCGCTCTCTTAAATAAGCTTGCCAACAATCCATCCCCATAGGAAAAAACTACACTGCAAATCTAAGTGCATTATTTTAACGCACTGAAGTGTCTTAATTTATGCAACACTTTTAACGAAATTAAAAAGTATTGAAATAACACATTTGAGATGTGTGTATACTAATGAATTATGCACTAAAAACGTGAAAAATCATATAGGCAAAATTGCGTAAGAAATAGGTAAAACGCACGCTTAAGCGCATTGAAATAACGCACTGAGATTTGCTGTACGTAGCAAGTAACAATTTTTCGCTGGAATATTTTCTATGGTAGCAAATAAATACATTTTCGTGCAATTCATTATATCTTACTGATTTAATTTTCTTTTTCATCTTATATGTTATTATACATAAAAATAAATAAAAATGGATATACAAAATTCGAAAAAGTTAAAAGTAAAGAAAAAACCCTTAAAGCAGAAATATGATAATTTTTTAAATGTTTATACGAATAGTGAAATAGTAACCATTCTGATTTTAAAAAAAGTCATGTACAACGAACACGAAATCCCAAGAATTATTTATTGTAAACAATAATGAAGAACTAGCTAGAGGAGAAATATAGACAAAAGCAAATTTATATTGAATGTAACTTTTTTTTACAGGAAGCGGTTCTTTACCAAATTTTTGTTATGTACTTGACATTGTCAAAAATAAGGCTACAATTAGTCCAATGCAAGAAAAGACAGGCTTCACAAGCTATACTTATACGTAGAACTACATATACTATACTAAGTAATAAAGTAAAATGAATGCGCCACGTGATTACGTAAATATTGTCAAAGATGTGGCGAAAGCATTCTTAAACCCTTCGGGGTACATGTGTACTATTTCAGACCACAAGTGGTAAACTAGTGCCTGATATTGTGAACAGTTACATACCACTTCTGAACTGAGATTAGCATAAAATAGCGTTTAAGTGGTAAGACTGTAAGAATATGTGAGATAATTAGAAAACAAGCATCACGGAAAAAAAGGAAAAAAAATGTATGGCTGTCCATTTTGAATAGTATTCAGATATGTTATTAAAAAATTTAAAAGTACAGATTTCTTTTATGTAATCAAACCAAGTATACTCAAAACATTTAACAAAACATGTATCCAAAAGAGTCAGTAATGTTAAACTCACTTTTTTGAGTATTTTATGTTATTGAAAAATGCATACTTTAATGAATATTTAAGAGAAAGAATAAGTTAAATGGTATAGTTCCACTTATGGTGTACGACGGCTTGATGCAAACACTACTTTAAAATCAGTAAAAACCGTATGAATAACAACAGTGACAGCAAGTTTACTTAAATATTTTACGATTCGGATGAATAATAAAAGTTTTTGTGCCATGAGATCAAAGTAAAAAAATCTTGCCTAAAGTGCGGGGTTTGTGTATGTTTGTGCCCAAGGTCCGCAAAGTCGTCCTATGTACTCGTAAGCACACTTTACGTCCAGAAGACAGGAAAGTACTTTTCCGAGGGCGTAAAATGATTTAAGGACGTAAAGTGAGACTCGAGAGCGCAAAGACTTAGTACCCATGGTAAGAAAATATAACTTTTACAAATTGATCGTGCACTAATCAAAATGTTTTTGTTATTCAAAAAACTATAAAAAATGATATTGATACTTTGTATAATGTTATATTGCTATACTGCATTCTCAAAAAATAGATATCAAAACAGGGTTATGATACATTATAATTAGAAAATTAACCTTAAGAATAGAGGATTTCTTTACACGCTGCTTATTTGAAATTGTTATAAAGTAGCTTATGAGCGCTGCTTTTTACAGTGCGCCCAAAACTTTCCAAAAATAAGCGTAGAGCATCAAAGCATGAGTAGAAGTAGACCATTTACGAGTAAGGCATGAAACACAAGGATTAAACAATGATTACTTTTTCTAACAATTAATGTACTGAATGTCTGGACAAATGTACATCTTAACGTCTTTCCAGTTCTGAGCAAGAGAATAGCATGTTCATTTATATTAAATCAGAGTTAAGAGTATTTTAAAAATTATGCTAACCTTATGTATGGAGTGAGAGATGTAATAAAAAATTCAGAATTTACAAAACTATTTTAAATATATAT